ACCGCATTTATGCAGATAAGTATTCACATGTGTTTGTTTTTTTAATTCAATTTTGTCTTTAGAGAATAAATAAATTGACTTTTGAAGATATAAGAACATTTGTTATTAATTTACTATATATTGCTTTTGTCCTTGAAGACATATTTTATATGTTTACAAATATGTTTTACTGTACAATAAAAAGAGAAAAATACATTATTTAAATCCAGGGTAGTACAATAAAGTGTTATTTGAAACACCCATGTCTTTGGAATGTAGTCTTCACAACATTATTACATGAGTACTGAGTACTCATGGGTCGGACCACACCTATCTTTAACCTCTCCCTTCATTTTGACCTCAACTACACACCTATGCAGTTTTGTGAATTACAAACGCATAAACACTTGCCAGTGGGCTGTAAATTGTCTCTGTGGTAGCTTCCACTACAATCTGTCTCCAGAAGCACATTTTGCCACAATGACGCACATACTCACAAAGTCAAAACAATATAAGCCACACCCTGTCATGATTACTTAAGAATAGACGTCATAGAACGTGGCTAAATGTCTAAATTATCCTCCTGTCGACTATTTTATAAATTGTTCCATGACGTATTGCATCTGTTCATACAGTTGCTTTGATAAGACATCTTTTTATGGTTTGTGAGTTTTGATTTTGTGTGAACATTTGTTTGTATTAGTGTCCTCTGCGCAGCCATGACATGAAGAAATGAAGAAACAGGCAGCCCCCTGTTGGTCTGGTTGATACAGCCAGGGATGGGATGGGATTCTGGAGGTGGATGCCGGTTTGTGTGTGTATGTACGTGTGTTTGTGTCTGTGTATGTGTGTGTGTGGTGGAGGGGGGTGGGTGCCAGAGAGCTGATCGATCCCCAGCTGCATGTGGCCGAGCTGGAGAACAGCGCTGAGCACTCTGTCCTGACTACCAAGCTAACTGCATACTCAGGCACATACACACAAACAAAACAGCACATATGGAGGGAGTATACGCTCCAGCAATCATCGGCTCAGACTGATGTACTGACTTGAGAAAATAGTTTAGAGTGTGAGAGTTGTTTGAAGTAGTTCATTATTTTGCTCATACAGAATGATTCATAATTTGATGACTTCATACATGATAATAGAGCAGCAGTTCAGACTATAGTCATGTACAAAAATAAAACAATGGGATTTATGACATTTCATTGACAATAATCTTCAGATTGCTCAGAAATTCCGTATGAATTCAGTTAATGACGGTCTTTGGCTTAGCCTGTGATTCATGGTGTATAATAAAGCTTTATTCTATTTGTTAATATGCAATTGAAAGCTCAGAAAATGCCCCGCTTAGCACAATAGAGGAGCACTGCGTTTGAAGATTGAACTTCCCCTTTCAGAGGCCAAACTACAGCACCCTCATACATAAGAAACATTATAGTTGATCATACACATAAGATCGCCTACACATTCAAATAACAAAACCATTAAAGCTATTTCTCCCCACGTATCCACAAATGAGTGAATCATCAAGTTTTGCTTTGGAGAGCAGCTTCATCCCCGGCAACTCCTTATTCATAAAGAAATAGGTTAAGCCCTGATGTTTAAATCACAGGCGGAAAGTAAATCTCCTAAAATCCTTTCATGCTTGTTAA